TCGTCGGGTCCACCCTTCCCGCCCCCCCCCCCCCCCCCACCACTCCTCATCCAAGATTTCCTCCTCCTGGCTCGGTCCACTCTTGACTCGCACGCAAGCCACCGAAGTATCCACAGAGGCCTTCGCAGTGGAAGTGGGGTCGCCTCCAAGTATTGCATCCAGCTCTTTGCAGAACTGGTAGCTCGTGGGCGCAGCACCAGAGCGGCAGTTTGCCTCCCGCACCTTGTGGTAGGTGTTCCGCAGCTCCTTCACTTTGACCCTGCACTGTGTCCCGGTCATGGCCCCTTTTTGTCATGCATCGTGAAATCTGTCTGTAGGCATCATAATTGGGGGGAGGGATAGCTCAGTGGTTTGAGCATTGGCCTGCTAAACCCAGGGTTGTGAGTTCAACCTGGGGCAAAATCAGTACTTGGTCCTGCTAATGAAGGCAGGGGGCTGGACTCGATGACCTTTCGGGGTCCCTTCCAGTTCTAGGAGATAGGCTATCTCCATTAATTAATTTATTTTTATTTATTTATTTAATTCCTACGGCTGAAGCGCAGCTGGGATTGGACAGCCTCCTCTCCTCAAATGCTGATGAGGACCAGCAGCTCAGCATTGCTCCAAGTGTGGAATCGCTTGGTTCGTGGAGCAGGCCCACTGACCTGGAAAGATGTGCTGAGACCACTGCACGCGTCACCGAGCAAACAGGAAGGGGACTTTAAGGGGTGGGGTTCATGGTTGCTCACCTGAGGGCAGGGCCATAGAGTTCAAACCGATGACCAGAGAGGTGAGAACAGGCATTGTGGAACACCTCCCGGAGGCCAATCACAGTGCTGTAATCGACCAGGGTGTCTACACTGGCAGCGCGGCACTGTAGCCCCAGTGCAGAAAGCTGTATGCCTCTCATTGGGGTAGTTTTTTTTACAGCGCTGCAACTGCGCAGTTTCTGCGCATTAAGTGCCTTCGCACTGTGTATACCTCAGGAGTTACACCGCCGAAAGCTACTTTACCAGATTGCCAGTGTAGACAAGGCCTTTGTTTGGAACAGATTCATCTGAAGGTGAATGAGCAAATGTTTTTGAGTACATACATTCAAGTTATTTTGGTTCTAGACACATTCAAGTATCCCACTATATTTGTTAAAAAGATGACTTAAAAGAAAAAGATGAGGAGGAAATGAGTAATAAATAGAGAATGGTAGTTAGTTGTACTCATCAGAAGTCCAAGTGCAGGTCTTTGGCATAAATAATCACACATTTACAATCCTTGTGCTGTCATTTGAAACTAGGAATAAACATAATTTTGCTTGATACAGCACTTTTAAATCAATTTATTTTCTGTACTGATTTGTAAACCCTTGCTTGGAATGAATAATGTATTATGTTTTATGTTATAATTGAGGGCAAGAAAATTGTGAGTGGATTATCCCCTTCCTCGGCATGCTATGGAGTGGACAGATACAGAGCACGGTAAAGGGGTAGTTGCCTGAGAATCAAGCAGGTATTTCACAGTGCTTCATTTTACTTAAAGTAAATGTTGTGGTTTAGTTTGAGTTGTTGTCCATTGAAGAGAAAGGGCAATAATTCACATTGTAAATCTCAACAAGAGATTTACACTAGTTAGCAGAATTATAAACAGCATAAACTGCTTCTTCAGCATAAGAATTGGACTTTTAACATTAATACGCTATTCCAACATGTTCTTAACATGTTACATTTTCAAGAACTATTCTTAAGGCAATAGAGGTAGCTAAAATTTGAAAAACATATCCAATACCTCCATTTAACATTTTTTAGGGGGCCGCAAATAAAAAATGGTTGAAAACCACTGATCTAGACACAAGAGGTCACCACCAAAGCCCCTTCTGTTGCTCTGTCTAACAAGAGCCGTATTTAAACATGGTTCATGAGAAAGGTGCTAACATGTTTTTCTTGGCCAGTGTAGATAGGACCCATGTAAGAAAAATATTGTTTATAAAGACACGACTGTCTTCTGAACTATTGTAGAAGGAGCTTGTGTGCACTCATGAATCTCCTATTCATTTTCAATGTAGACTGATAAGACCAACTAAATCAAGGCAGATTTTTCTAAGAGCTTTGACTTCAATGGGACTATTTACATGCTTAAAGTGAAGCATGTCCCTAAGTGTATTGTTCCTAATTGGGGGCCTCAGTGCCTTTGTGAGGAGGCTTTTGGGCCATGTTGTTCTGACAAAGTTTTCTGTGGGGTGATTTTGTTTTTATTGTATCTCATGGAGTCTCTCCTAATTCTGATGTGTCTGTGCTTGTGAAGGCTTTTAATGTTGCCTATATCACTGATTACTAAGCCTCTGATCCCATTAACACTTTCATACAGGCTTAACTTTATGCATGTGAGTGGGCCCATTGACTTTATTAAAGTCAGTGAGGTCACTCATTTGCTTAAAATTAGGCAGATGCTCAAGTGCTTTGCTGGATCAAGGTTGGAGTGCTAAGCACTTTGCAAGATCAAATTGGTATAGCAAAGTATATGGAAAGGAGCAAAAATGGTATTTATGTTTTACAAGTCCATTTATAGTGTGCTTGTCATCACAGAGCACTGTAACAAGTGAATGATTATAAAATTCTGTTTGCAACATCTACTATAACTTCTTGTTTTGTATGGGAAGATCCATCTCAAATTATTAAAGGAATAAGTGGCTAAACATTCATGGATTATAGTAGTTATTTTTCCTGATTTTTCAGAATTGATATTTAGGCCAGTGATGGTTTATTTTTCAAGAGTAATAATCCATTTTTCAGTCTTCATTAATTATACCAAAAAATGTGTGCATCTTCAAAGCTCGACATTCTAAAAGATAAATTCCCAGCAAGTGTGAGAGGTCATTAAGGCTTGTTAAACCTATCTTCAAACAAGACTCACCAAAATTGTAATTTTAGCTATTTGTGGCCCATATATCCCAAATATTTCTCTGGCCCTCGTTACGGTAGTATCTGAGAACTTTTAACATCTTTATCCTCACAACATTTTTGTGAGGTAGGGAAGTACTATTATCCCTATTTACAGAAGGGGAACTGAGGCACAGAGAGACTAAATAAGAGCCTAAGATCACACAGGACAACTCTGGCACAGTAGGGAACTGATCCTGGGTGTCCCAGGTTGTAGGCTAACACCCTAATCACTGCAATATCCTTCCTTATATATATTATAAACACTTTGCTTTATTGGGATTATATCAATTTTAACTAAAAACCATATATATAAAATGTATTGTATTGTAATTTTATAGAAGTAACAGAACAGTTTCCATTGTCTCCAGAGTACTCTAGACTGACCAGATTAATAGCATGGGACATGTATTAAAAACTAAATGTATTTTGCCACTGACTTCTTCTGAGGGAACTCCTCTGAGAGGCCTTAGCTAAGAAGCTCTCCCTATACAGATTTTAAAATAAATGTTCTAGGTAAACATCAAGAGGTAAAGTTTAGTCACTGGCAAAGTCTGATTATTCTTAGTGTTTACATTTTGCTGTTTTGTTTCATACTGTGTATTTAAGGTCAAGACCAACATGAAAAATAGTTTATAATTTACCAATTCAGATCTTTAATTATATACGGATTGATCCTGAAGTCCTTACCCAGAAGTTGGTTGGAAATGAGTCTGAATAAGGACTGCAGGGATGGTCCTATACTCAGGAGTATGCAGCTAAAATTAAAATGTAGCCAGGTATTTATTTTATTTTAAGAAATTGCATTTAAAAGATGGAAGAGTTTCTATTAAAGGCTTTGTGTGCAAGTTATACTTATAACATTTTGAAAGTTTTTTTTTTTAAACAACAAGACATATAACTGATGCGGTACTAAAGAACCTGTGGTGTAACAATTATAAAACCTATGGTATTTCTCCATAATTGGAAGAACATTTGTGCTTTATAGTACAAAAATAATGTCTCACTTGTTGAAAAAGTGTCTATGTATTTGGGCCCTATATTCTCCTACTCAAGGATTAGTAGATTTCTTTTTGCACTTAAACTACATTCTATCTATGCTTGCTCTTTTTGTATTAAAGTTTCATCCACATTACAAGTTTACTCATGTGTTAGCACATTGTTTGTCATGGTTACATGCATATGTATTCAGACACTGATTTTTGAGAATGTAGCAATTGCCATATTGGATCAGATCAGTCGTCCATCAAGTCTAATATCCTGTCTTTGACAATTTCTAGCACTAGATATTTCAGAACAAGAGCAAGAAGTCCACAGCAGGGAGTTATGGGGTAAAATACCTCCTAAAAGTTTCCTTCTACTCCCCAATAGTTAGAGGTTGGTTTAAGCTCTGCTATATGAGGCTTTATATCCCGCCTGAAAATAATGATTATTTTTTTAATATTTACTCTGGAGGTTCTTGTTAGTCATATATATGTCTAAACCCTTTTGAATCCTAAAGTCTTGAACGCAAAGATACACAGTGACAATATGTTCCACAGGCTAATTGTGCATTGTGTGAAAAAGTGTTTGTTTCCTTTTATTAGTTTTGAATTTGCAACTTTTCACTGAATTTGTCTTTGTTCTTGTATTATTAATAGATTGCAGCCCAGAAGGAACTATTGTGATCATCTAATCTGACTTCCTGTATAAAACATGCCATAGAATTTCCCTGAAAAAATTCCTAGAATGTATCTTTTAGGAAAAATCAAGTCTTGATTTAAAAACTGTACATGGAGAATCCACCTCGACCTTTGGTAAATTGTTCCAATGGCTAATAACCCTCACTGCTAAAAATTTACGCCTTATTTCTGGTCTCAATTTGTCTAACTTCAACTTCCAACCATTGGATTGTATTACACCTTTCTCTATTATATTGAAGAGCTCATTATTAAATATTTGTGCCCCATGAAGGTACTCATAGACTGTAATAAAAATCACTCCTTAACCTTCTCTTTGTGAAGCATGTTTTCTAATCCTTTAATCGTTCTTGTAGCTCTTCTTTGAACTGCTGCAGTTTATCAACAACGTCTTGACTTGTGGATGACAGAACTGGACACAGTATTCCAGCAGCACTCACACCAGGGCCAACTACAGAGGTAAAATAATCTCTCTATTCCTCAAGATTCCCTTGCTTATGCATGCAAGGACTGCATTAGCCATTTTGGCCACAGCATTGCCGTAGGAGCTCATGTTCACCTGATTATTGACCACGCCCCCCACATCTTTTTTCAGAGTCACTGCTTCCCAGGATAGAGTCCCCCGCTGTAGAGGCCTGCATTCTTTGTTCCTAGATGTTTACATTTACACATATTGTTTTCTTGTGCTCAGTTTATTAAGAGATCCAGGTCATTCTGAATCAATGACGAGTCCTCTTCCTTATTTACTACTCCCCCAATTTTTGTGTCATCTGCAAACTTTGTCAGTGATGATTTTATGTTTTATTCCAGGTTCTTGATAAAAATGTTAAATAGTGTGGAGGTGAAGAACCAATCCCTGTGGGACCCCATTAGAAAAATATATATCGGATGATGATTCCTCATTTAGAATTACGTTTTGAGACCTATCAGTTAGCCAGCTTTTAATCCATTTAATGTGTGCCATATTAATTATATATTGTTCTAGTTTTTTTAATCAAAATGTTGTGTGGTGCCAACCCAAATGCCTTACCGAAGTCAAAGTATATTACAGCAACACTATTACCTTTATCAACCAAATATGTAATCTCATTAAAAAAAAAAATATCAAGTTAGTTTGACAAGATCTATTTTCCATAAATCCATATATTATATTACTCTCCTTTAATTTTTTATTAATCGAGTTCTATATCCGTTGCTACATTATCTTACCCAGAATCGATGTCAGACTGACAGGCCTATAATTCCCCAGGTCATCCTGTTTTCTCTCTTTAAATATTGGCTCAACATTAGCTTTCTTACAGTCTTCTGGAACTTCCCCAGTGTTCCAAGACTTAATTAAAACCTACATTAATGATCCAGCAAGCTTCTCAGCGGGCTCTTTTAAAACTCTCGGATACCAGTTATCCGGACTTGCTAATTTTAAAATGTCTAACTTTACTAGCTACTGTTTAATATCCTCCTGAGATGCTAGTAGAAAGGTAAGAGTGTTATCATACGATATGAATACATCATCTATTTTTTCCCAAATACAGAACAGAAATACTTATTGAACCCTTCTGACTCTTCTGCATTATTACTGATAATTTTACCATCTCCATCTACTAATGGACCAATACTATTGTCAGGATTCTTTTTGTTCCAGATATACTTTTAGAAACTGCTTATTGTTCTTAACTCTGTTGTTCATAGATTTCTCTTTGTATCCCTTAGCTTCCCTTACCAATTTTCTATATTTCCTAACTTCTGATTTATGTTCATTACTATCAGCTTCCCTTTTCTTTTATTTGTTATAGATTTTATAGCTTCCTTCACTTCTCCTCTAAACCAGGTTGGTTTTTTAACCAATATGACCTTCCTCGATTTTGTGATTGTGGCTTTTTGGGCTTCTAATAAACTGTTCTTAAACAATTCACAATTATCATTCACATTTTTCTGATTAAATTCTTCCTTTCAGCTGATTTGGCTCATAATTGTTTTCAGCTTTGTGAAATTGGCCCTTTTAAAGTACCAAGTATATGTATTACTGGTCTGGACTTATTCTGTTGGCACATTATAAATGTGATTAAGTCATGATCACTTGTACCTAAACAAACATTAATTTACTTCTGTGATCAGTTCCTCTTTATCTGTCAAGACAAGGTCTAATATTGAATTCTCCCATGTCGGATGCAACATTTTTTCATTTAGGCATCTATTATCTATAATATTTAGAGATTCCAAGGATGTTTTATTACTGGCACCATGAGGCCTTATGCCACTCAAATAAAAGTCCGCCATATTCACACAGATTTTTTTTCTGCTTCACATTAGAGATAGATGCATAAGGAGCCAGGCATTCTGTTTCCAAATATGATTTGGTGGTTTGTAGCAGACAAAGTAATATGCCATTTTGTGCTTTCTTTGTTAGGACATTGATCCACAGGCATTCAGATCATTTCCTTCTATGTTACCAGTAACTTGGAAACATGCAATGCCATTTTTAACATAAGCCACTCCTCCTCCCCTTTTGCCTACTCAGTCCTTCCTATATAGGATATAACTATTGATTTTTAACATTCCAGTCATGCAGATCATCCCACCGGATTTCAGTTATAGATCTAATTTATGCTAATAAATGAGCAGTACCCATTCCTCTTGTTTGTTATCCAGGCTCTAGCATTGGTGTATAGCCAATTAAAGAATTTCTTCTCTTCATGTCTTTTTCTTCCTTGATTAATTTTGTTCTCAACATCTTGATTTTGTGCTACATGAGTTTTCAGTCTTCCCTCTTTTTACCCTCCCCTTTTATTATGAGATCGAGTGAACAGAAGCTCCTAATCTACCTTTTCAATGCCGTTAATATTTTGTATACATATAGGGTGGATTGATTTAAATTGTCTTAATTAAATCACTAATAATCATCATGATTTAAATTGGCAAGCAGGAAACCTTGATTTAAATAATCAATTTTAATTTTGTTTTGCATGTATAATATTTTAGTTGTTTTCCTAAAGAAAGATTGGTTCTTGTTTGTTGTTAACTATTATCATATTGATTTGCAACTAAATATAGACCTCATATTAAATTTGGTGGCATTTTTTTTGTTTTTTGCTAAACAGGAAATACACTAATGTATGTGCATTTATATAGTCAATTATATAGCTTAACTCACGTTCAGAGTCTTAATTTTTACATTTTCTTACCACTGTGACAAATTTCCTCCTCTATCTTGGTGGGTCCTGCGCTTATTGGTGGATTTTCTTGCCTCAGAGATTCAC